TGGACCTTTAGCCTTTTTCATTTCCTTCATGACATTGCATATCCTCTTCATTAGATACTCCTTTATGTATTCTAAACATCCAATGACAGGTTTATCCCTTCCTTTCTTTATCTTCCCATTAAACACTTCACACATGTTTGATATCAACACATCAAAAACGGCTCTTCCTGTGTGTACATTACCATTAAAAAAACATTTAATACAAGTCTGTCACACCCCCGAACCAGACGGCGGAAACGTCCGAGGGCTATTGTGACTCATTGAATACCATCACAATGCATATACATGAAACATAACATAAAACATCACCAACATTTGGAATAATACAACCGATAGTGTTTACATTCGTTACATTGTTCAAACGTTACATTCTCAAAATAATTGTTCAACACCTACTTAAACCACAGCAAACATCATAGAGTATAAATCATCCGTCACCTTATCTGTTACCTGAGAATACAAGTATTTTGAAAACGTCAACATACGAAATGTTGGTGAGTTCATAAGTAGTGTTTGAAATCCAATGTAATGTTTGAAACCCATCAGAAAATCCGATATTTTCTCAAAATAGAATAGTGTAAAAATATGTGTTGATCCATGAGTATGCATGTTTGAATTCTATAGATGTGGGCGTAAGAGTTGTGAAAATTCGACCGGTAATTCATAATTTGTAATTGTTGAAAACCCTAGGAAAACCCGACGTTTTCCTATCACTTTGTATTACTTAGTTTGTATACCGTTGTTTCGTTTCGTTAGAGGGAATCGTTGAACTCCGAAGGCATCGAGAATACAATGGGTGGTGAAGTGTTGTGACGTACGTTAATGAAAACGTCCAATCGACAACCTTACAAGCGATCCCTTAGGCGCCACTCGTAATTCTTCACACAACTCGATCCTCCCGGACTTGTGTAGTCCCACGACCGGAGGGAAGGAGAGAAGGTGTGAAACCCTCGGTATTTCCCCGCGTCGTTCAAGACTAATGCAATTGCGAAGGGCCCGAAGCCCAACCCGCAATCGTGAGTTACCGACTTTACTAGCAGCACTGAAGGACCCTTGGGGACCAGCAACACGTTTGCCATTGAAAGTCCTGTTACGTTATGTCGGATCGGTAAAACCCAACACTTCGTAAGAGAGAGAGATCTTCGGGCCTTAAGATCAGGTCATTGGGCTAGCTAGGCTCAACGAACAAGATTTTACACTTTTGGGGCCCAAAGATGGTGCATAGACGTCTGTGCACACTCGCATGTATAGTGAATTCTCCATCGTTATTAGTTATGAATCGTAATGTCGTAACGTCGTCGTGTTAGTGGTTTTGGATTTTTATTGGTTCGAGACCGAACCAATTCGTTTAACAACGACTTTTGGTATTGTAATGTATTGTATTTCGTCGACAAGCGTGGTACCGTCAATTGGTCAAATTGCATGTATTAACTAGCCTTGAAGATTTTCTGTTTTCAGCCCCTCCTTAATTGTAGAATTTACCCTTTTCACCCCTTTATTTAAAAACTTTCCGGTTTGGTCCTTAAATCAATTTTCTTGACATTTTTATACCAAAAATTATTGAAATAAGTATTTTCCAGCATATTTATCATAGAAAACAGTTTAAGTCCTTGAAATTGCAGTTTTCTCGGTTATAACCCCTCTTTTTCGCAACTTTTACATTTTTGACCCAATTTGGAAAATTTTTACAACTTTGGTCCTTTTTAAATTTGAAAAGCATTTTAAACCTTTGAAAAGTACATGGAACACTTATAGTCCACTGTTTTACAGAAAAATGCAGTTTTGGTCCCCAAATTAGAAAATTTCGCATATTGGGCCTCATTGGGCCGAAAATGTCATATTTAGCCCAATAAGCTTGGAATTTATGTTTTTAACCCTCTAAATAGTATATTTTCAGAAAATACATTGTGTAAACTGTTTTGACTCATCTCACCCATCAGATTTCGAAATATTTCACTTTAGGCCCTTTAACTTTGTATTTTCAACATTTTATGTCAAAAAAATGAGTTTTTAGCCCAAATTAAGTGTTGTCAAGCCATTTGGCCATTTTTCTTAGTATACTTTGCATGTAGTAGTATATTTTATGCTATAACAAAATATATGTCTCGGTTTTTAGCATTTCATACTAGATCTATCATCAAAATCATACAAAACATACATATAAGCATAGAAATCAACCACAACATACACATAATGATGGATCTACACTTTTGCTTGTATTCTCCCCCACAAAAACTTATAAAAACCGAAAATAAGGGGGTATGAAACTCACCTTGGATGTTGATTCGGTTTTTGAAGAAAGAATGGAAGAAATGAAGTGATTTTTGGCCTTTGCACTCCTTGATGAAGTTTTCGAGTTTATGGGGTTTCTAGAGTGCAAGATCACGATTTTTGCATGGATTAGGAAGAGATTTTTGATAAAACAAGGAATACAAGTCATAGATCCAAGCAAAACCTTACCTTAGATGATGATTTTTGTGGAAGAACTTCCTTGAATGCTTCCTAAATCTCGAGATTTTGGATGGAGAAGAAGAAAGAAGCCTTGAGTGATTTAGAGAGAGTTTGTGAGTGTTTTGTGTGTGTGTGGGTGTTGCTCTCGGCCGAGTTCAATAAGAAGAGAAGAGAGAGAGTTGAGTTGACAATCCTAGATGCATGTTGGTCCATGCATGGAGATATGTGGGATATAAGTGAGGTGGCAAGGCTCTAAGTCAACTCTTCCTTCTTGGTTTTGGGCTTTTGGGCCGAGAATTTGAAATGGAAAGGAAAAAAAATTGGGCTTTAATGTCCTAACCCATGTAGATGTTAAGTTGGATGGTTTTTAGTCCCAAAAGAAATATAGTATGATTTTTACACTTTGTTGGGCTAGTTTAGGTTAATCGTGGTTCAAAATTTTGTATTTGTTTCATTCTAGGTCCAACATGGCTCAAAATGTTGAAATAAATAGATGTGGGTCCAATTAGATCCCAATTAGGGTTCTAAGCCCATGATAGTCCAATTGGAAGCTTATTGGTCCATTTGGATCCAATAAGGAAGTTCTAGTCCAAAATGGACTTAACAAGAACTTCTAGGGTTTTCCAATTGTTTGATGTAGTGAATTGGGGTTTAGTTTCCCATTGAGTAAGCATCATACTTGTTTTTGAGTTTTTGATTTCAACATTTACTTGAGTATAGGGATTACAAGACATAGAATTTTTAGTTGTGACAAAGTCACATACAAGTAAAACGGTTCACTAAGTGAAAGACATAAGGACCAAATTGGAATATATAGATTTACCTGAAAAATGACTTCTTGCCCAATGTTTAGGAGGAATTTGCTTCAACCATTCACATGCGTCCATATCATACTGACTAAACTCCTTCATCACATGTTCAAACTCATAATGGTGGTTGTTGATGCACACCTCCATAAGTGGTCCCTGTACTCTGTTTGCCTCCATCTTTTCCTCATATTGTCATGAATATGTCTGATACAATATCTATGCTCAGCATTGGGAAACAATTGCTCAACTGCAGTATGTAAACCCTGCAAAAATCAATTTTCAATCATTAGAATTAATTTAAAACCACACTTTAAATGACCAAATGTATAAAAACCACTTCCAGCTTTACCTTTTTTCTGTCACTTATGAAAGTAAAATTTGAGTGTCTTCCAAGATCTAAGTCATCCCCAAGGTTATCTAAAAACCATTTCCAACTTTCTAAGTTTTCAGACTCAACAATCCCATATGCTAATGGGTAAATTCCATTATTGGAATCTTGACCAACTGCTGAAAGGACCTACCCATGAAATGGTCCTTTCATGAAGGCACCATCAAAACCTAATAAGTCCCTAAGGCATGCCTTGAACCCTTTTTCAGTGGACCCAAACACACATAGATTCTTCTAAATTTCCTGGTTGGGGAATCAGGGTTAGGCTCAGAACATACATCTATTTTCACTGTGGTGTCTGGGTTGGTGGCTTGAAGTTCGAGAACATAGTCCCTCAACAGTTCATACTGCTTTGTGTAGTTCCCAGTTATATGCTTTCTTGCCTTATCCTTTGCCCTGAACACCTTGTCCATAATAACACCCACTTGGTAGGTCTTTTGAAAGTGATCTTGTATGACTCTCAAAGGTATATCTGAATTCGCCTCAACTTGATCAAAGATGTTTTTGGTGATTAAAGAAGCAGTACAAGCCCTGAGTTTCCTTGTTTGCAAACATGTGTGAGTTTGGTTTAAGGTCCTTATAAACCAGTCGGATTCAGGATTTGACCTAGATGCATGAATGTACCAACCACATGTTACTTTTTGTGTCTTTGATTCTTTACCCTTTCTTTTTGAAGTAGTAGCTTGACTACCCACTTGGCCTTTATTGGTGACATGTACAACTCCCATACATTGTGCCCTAAACCTTACATTGTCATTTTTTTTAAAGAAAGTATTCCTTCTTGATTCTAGTGCATGCAAATAAATTGCCTCCTTTAATTCTTTTTTACTATTAAATTTATCTCCAACTGAAAATGATTGTTTATGTACTACCCCAAGACTGTACCTTTTTTCTTTTCTTAGATTCTTGATAAGAGCTTTTCTTTCTCTATCTTGGTCAGATCCTTCATCCAAAGATTCAAATTCCTCACTGTTGATCACTTCCATATCTTCAGGTTCATGCCCATGAACAACATTTATACAAGAACCTTCCACATCACTTTCAACATTAAGAGTGAATTCTCTTATGTCCACATCCACATCATGTATATTGTTGTCAACATCCATTATGTCATCCACATGATCTTCATATTCTATTTGTCTCTCATCTTCTTCATACCCTGGATCACTATTTCATATTCATCATACTCTTCAAAATTTGGATCACTTTCTTGAGATTCATCATCCTCTTCATACTCTTGATTACCCTCTTCATATTCTCCATCACCTTCATACTCTGCATTATCATCATCACTCCTAATCAAATTTTCCATAAGGTTATCAAATAACTCATTCAATTGTTAATCAGCATTATTAACAGGGGGTGTTGTAGCATCCTTCATCAACAGTTGATGCCTGTTGAACAATAGTTGCAACCTCCCTAACACCATCCATCTCATCAATAAGAACACAAGTTGGTGCCTCTTGAACATCAGTTGAACCATCCTGATCATCATTCTTTTCCTTTGAAATGTGAACACCCTCATCAATATAATCTAAATTAAGCCTCTTGCTACAAGAACTTTCACCTATATTGGAATTCCCAACCCTACCCCTTCTACACTTTGGTGAGAAACTATCATTCTTACTCCCAAAAAGAATCAGAGACATGAACTCACCAATAGGCTCACCATTACCATGGTTCACATTTTTCATTGGAGAATCTGCATGAACTTGACCCTCAACTTCAGCCCCTTGATCATCATTTTCTGGTAATTCCTCAATGACAACTTTACCCTTTGCATTTGGTGACATGAAGTAAGTCAGTAAATTTGTCTTTCCATGCTCTGTGTACACCTCAATCAGCTTGTTATGTGTAATGTATTTAGAAAGGTTGATCACATCCTGATCATTCCCTAAAGCTCTAAGACCAAATTAAAACTCACCATTGGGTATCCTAAAATGGTAGTATATAACTGGGGATTCATCAGTGAATTCAGAATTCCGTGGGTCTGGGTAACCTAGGTCAAGCATTATGGCATCAAGTTCATGCATAGAAAACTCATCAATGTCCACATAATCAACATAATGCACTTCACCTCTAATGTACTTTATATCGGGTAACTTAGTAAATTTCCCACCGTGATGAAGCTTATTACTAAACCATGTGGGTGCACCAACTAAAAATTAAAATTGTACATATTAACAAAGTCAAAATTTTGCATTTTTTTTGTTCTAAATCAATAAGAAAATGCAAAGTATAAAAGTTAAATAAACAAAGCAACTTACCATATACAGTTGATACATCAACAACTTCGTGTTTTGGTTTGATGTGCCACATTACGAACACCATTTTCGTATTAAACGTATGCCCTTATATGTGTAGTGTCGATTATCTTGTTTGGATAAGCAACGAGGGTTTTTTGCAGGTTCAATGGAGCAGAAGCAAGAAGGAGTGTCACACACCCGAACCAGACGGCGGAAACGTCTAGGGGCTTGCGCGTGATTTCATCTTGAAATATCATTACAGTGAATATAATTGAAACATAACATCATCATCATCACACATGTAATATTACAACATTCATTGTTTACATTGAGTATTGTATTTGAATATTACATGCCAAAATAGTAAGAGTATGATGAAACAAAATATCACATAATATCCCTTAATTTGTTTCGTTCATCCTGCTTCAACAGTATCCTGAGAATACAAATTATTTTGAAAACGGTCAACATAAAAATGTTGGTGAGTTCATAAGCATGTTTGTGAAAATGATTTGTATAACTTTGAAAACCACCAGAAAATCCGATATTTTCTGAAAACTGTTTAGTGTGTTTGTGTTAGATCTTGTATTAATGCATGTATGCTATTGTTTATTTGACTAAAAAGGTAAAGAGAATGTAGAGAGAATGTAAGAGCATGTAAAGAGAATGTTCCCAGACAACCCGACGTTGCCTAAAAAAATGTAGATGTCTTCCGTAAACTTCATAACATTAATTCATCTAAGCGAGCCGTCATAACCATACTAAATAATGACAATTTCACCTGTCTTGGCGTCGTTGGACGCTGACGGAAAATAGAATAAGGTTTTCGTCACCCTAGACTGAGTAAGTCTAACTGTAGCGAACAATTGAGGTGTGGGGTGTCAACCCCGTATAGATCTATACACAAATCCCCGTTCTCCATCCAGGAGACTCTGGTTATAACTACAGGCTACGATTGTACATTTAATAGGTGCCAACCGATAAAAACTCGCTAGATCCTTAATCGAATTTACGCGAAGAAAAATGTATAAACTCATTCTAGGACCAATGATCCATTTAAGTGAACCCCTAAGGCGTCGCTAAACATGTAAATCATTTCAAGACCCAAATGGAATGAAATTATATAACATGGGCCCGAAATATATATGAAAGGCCAACTAAGGCCCATTTCACATATAAAGTATTTACAGGCCCAAATAGTACACAAATAGTATCCAAGGTCCGTCGCACATGTTAATGGGTCAATGAGGCCCAATAAACATGTAAATAGTATACAGGACCTATCACACATAGAAATGGGTCACTAAGGCCCAATAACCTAGAAAATGATCAAATTAAATCCGTTTGTTGGTTTATCATTGGTTTAGTTCAAGTATTCACTAAAATAGCATAAAAAGAAGAACGCATATAAAACTCATTCCCAGGCCCAATAAACATGTAAATGGACCACTAAGGCCCACTATACGTGTCTATTATTTCCAGGCCCAATAAGGATATGAATATCGTTTTTAACCCGTTTGTTATTGTTTTGTTTATTTTAGCTTGATTATTTACAAAGTTGATATAAAAAGCCCACCTTTTGTAAAAATGACGTTCTTGGCCCAATAAGTCAAAAATTTAGGATTTATGGCCCAATTTTTGTAAGAATAACACTTTAGTCTCCATTTTATTCAAAACTTGTTTTGATGACTATTTTGTAGTAAAAATAACATGCTAAAACCCATTTTTGTCAAAATTAACATTTTTGGCTTGATTTTTGTGAAAATACACATTTTCTGGTTTTTGAGCTTTTCCGACCTAGTTGTTTGAAAATTTGTAGAAAATCATTGTAAGTTGAAATTTGGATCCGTAAACTCTCAAAGTTTAGAAATTTTGTCTACTTTGTTCAAAAAATTTCTAATAGTTTCTAATGGCTTTAACAAGTGTGAAATTGTTCATCTTCACAGGTTGGTCCGAAATTATTTCAAATATGATAGGCAGTTTTGTAAAATTCGCCAAAAATTGTAGAAACATCGTATGAAAACATGCGAGTAGTCATTTTAAAGGTATAACGCTCAAATTTTTCCATGTAAAATGGTTTTGAAAAATACTTCTATTTGGATGGTCAAAACAGTCCGAGATTGGACCAAAACTTTTCTGTCAAAGGCTGTTTTGTGAGTTTAGTTTATAGATCTCTAACCACAACACTCATTTTTGCTATATCAAGTGTATAAATACAGTATATACTAGTTTACATGTATTATGTTTGATAAAACATACTTCTCTCAAAATTCATATAAAGATCCAAGTCATAAACCTCAAGTTTCTTAACATATTTTTAGATTAGTGAAGAAATCAACACATAATCACCAAATAATTCATGGAAGACACACATAATCATGCATATACACATAGATCTACACAAAGCAACTTGTATTCTCCCCCAAAATCATATAAAAACAGAAAACAAGGGGTATGAACTCACCTTTGCTTTGTTGTTCATGGTTTGAAGAAGGAATGGTAGGAGGTGAGGTGATTCTCGGCCCTAACAAGCTCCTTGAAGGAGTTTTTGAATTCTATGAAGTTTAAGAATATAAATTATGAGTTAAGAAGAGGTTTTTGAACTAATCAAGAACTAAACTATAGATCAAAGTATTAACTTACCAAAAATGATGATCTTAGTGGAAAAGCTTCCTGGAAATGCCCACAATCTCGAAATTTTTTAGAGGAGGATGAAGGGTTCTTGAGAGAGTTTGAAAGAAGAATTAGGGGTGGTGTTGTGGGGTGTTTGGCCGACGATAGAAGAAAGGGAGGGGAAAGGCTTTGCCTTGATATATGGAAGGTAAATCTTGCATGCCTAGATACATGGAGGACAATGCATGGATGTCTTCCATGTATTTACAAGGTCTCACTCATCCCTTAATTCTTTCTTAATTTTTTTTATATATATGTATTGGGCCGAGAATTGGGCTAAAGAGAATGAAGAGGAATTGGTTTGGGCTTCCATGGCTAAGTTCGAATTTATGAAGTTTAATTATAAATTTTCTCGGCCCATTGGGCCCATTAGGAATAAAATGAACCATTTTAGGTTCACTTGGCCCAAAATGTGAAGTTTTATGAGTGTGGGTCCAATTAGAGCCCAATTAGGATCTTTAGGCCCAAAATAGTTCAAGTTGAAGGTGTATTGGTCCATAGGACCCGATAAAAGAATTATTGTCCATAAAGAACTTGAGTCGGGATTCCTAGGGTTTCCAACCCTTATTTGAGCATATGAGATATATTTGAATGAGAATAGAGTATAGTATTCACTTAGAGTACAAGTTATTACACTAGGTGAATGATTGAATGAGAGTAGAATTTCCTAGCAAAAATGCTAGTTGTGACTAGGAGGGAGTTGGGGAGTTGACGAGTGTTGGGGAAATTAAATAAGGGGTAAATATCAATTAATCCAAAAAACGTTTATGCAAAAATGGTCCATAATATATGAAATGACAAAATTACCCTCACTTGTGAGGCACGTGAGGGAGCTTAACAGATCCAACTTAACGGGAGTTAAGTCCAGGGACCAAAACCACATAGAAACCACTCCAAAAGGACCATGGATCCAAAAAACTCATGGTTTGGACTAAAACCCCGAAATTTTGCATACCACAGGGACCATTTTGCAATTTTGTCTAATCAATGTGATTAAAACTTTAATTCAAATATTGGGCAGGGCTGCGCGAACGCAAACCCCCACTGACACAAATTATGATGTAGGCTCAACCACTTGGGCCGACCTTAAAGCAGCACCCCTTCAAAGTGCAATGAAAGTCACTACTCTAGACCATGATCCATCTTGACCAACCATTGACCCCATCCAGGTAAGTATCTAATACAGGTGCATGGCTCCTGTCTTATACACCTCCTCCTTCTTTCTTTTTCTATCCTCTCCGATGTGGGATCACACCATAATGCATATCTTACCACGCAAAATCTCATTGCCTTCATACACATTTACTTATAATAATACATTAATACTTCAAACCATGATACTTTATATTTTTCATTCAATAAGAAGTTTATTATCTTTGATAAACATGACAAGGTTTTCTTTTATAAAGCCAAAATAAAGATAGATGGAGTATATCCTACTATCCTAGGGACTATAACTTTAAACTGTTCTTTAGATGATAATTTCTTTTTGTATTTTTAATTTAATTTGGAGATGTCATAATCATCTTGTGCTAAGCATGATTGCATGAACATGCTATGATTTCAACACGTCATTGGAACCATACAAAAGAAAACAAGGAACTACTATAAGATGAGTATGGAATGAGACATTGAACTGGTAGCATAGACTCTAACTCGTTTGATGACTGTGTATTTAGTTGAGCCAACGCAATAAGAAAATTTAAGACCTTAATCAAATTGTTAAATACATAAGTAGGTACTTGATTGAAAACAAAAATGTGTGAATAATAAGGAATTCTTTTCCTACAACCTTTTTTCATCACAAGATATAAAGGTCGACATACACATTGTATAATGTATAACACTTGCCGGTTACCATTTGAGTTTACTAAAAACACAAGTAATTCGACTGGTTTAAAAATAAGACAAATAAAATGCAAGGGTTTAATCACTAAGTTTTTTTTAAACCTTAACTGATAAAGAGGTGAAATTATGTGTGTTTTTTGTGTATTTCTCTTCATACTAAATAGATAGCAAGAACAAATTTTCCTCGGTCATGGATGCAACTTTTCCTCCATGTTTCACTTATATGTTAACATTAACATTATCAAATAAAATTGAAAATTATTTACAATTTAGGGAACCTATGTCTTTTTGGCTTTGTTATTGAAGTGATATACTCGTCTTAAGTTATCATATTGTGTTTCTTTATACATAAATAGTTACAAACTTATATTATCTTTGTCGATGAATGGTTATATCATCCTTCTTTCTTGCAAACATTTATGAAAGTATGCAAACTTTCATGTACACCTCTCCTTTCCAATTATATAAACGAACTTCCTAAAAGGTAAACGAGACAAACGAAAAAGAAAAACAATAAATGACCAGTTTATCCTTATGTCTCGTGTACAAATGATAATGAATAAGAGTAAACTACCATCTTAACCTTCTATTTTCTATTTACATATAATGTTGAATAAAAATATGATTGTATTTTTAGATGTAATGAGAGCAAGTTTTTTTTTTCTTCTA